GCTCGCCAGGAACTCAGTTCTACTGATTCCGTTACACTGGTCATGTGCTTTCCCATATCCTTCACGTAGCTTTCTTCTACAACCTCACCTGTTTCATCTGTTTTTTCATTCATGATTCTAGGCCGGTGTTTCAAGTTTCCAGCTTCCTTTATCCCCTACATTTCGTGCTTTGTGATGTAGTTCTACCAGCCGGCTACTCAATCACTCGGCAAGTCGGCTGAGCAATCCGGCCAAAACTGACTATATATATACATATGTACTTATGTCGATATGTAGTTCAAATATTATGATAATCTATATCACGTTGTATTTGCTTCCTTATTATTTTTTCATACTTTGTATTTGGGATCAGAATTATAGTATATTTTAAGAGCATTAAATTATGAGGAATACTGTGGGTGGCTTATCAGATACTATATGAACATAATGTTTGTCTAATTACTTTCCTTCCAATAGTGAATAGTATTATTTTTACGTATGTTCGCATATTGCATGGCAATCAGATTCATATAATGTGCTTGGGCATGAATTTTATTTGGGCTCATGAAATTAGTCTATTTTATAATGTGAGACAAGTTCTTTAGAGGTTGTTCTTATATTTCTGGTATTGAATTATGGGAATGGAAACAGTAATAGGTGACACAAAAGAAGTGACTTGTATGGATGAGGATGACTTGCAAACTATGAAAGTCATTCAAGAACAGTTTTTAGCTGTTGATGCTGAAGAGATCAAGGAAATCAGCGAGCATTCCAAGCAGGTCAGATATCTATTTTTTGTCTTATCGCCATTTATGTCTGTATTTGATATGTTCAAATTGGAAAAGACAAGAAGTGAAGTAGTTTTCATACGAAAGTCTTATCAGTAAAGCAATCAAAACTTTCTTTTATCACTTGAATTCTATTCTTATCATTCGTCGCTGCGGTGCTGTGTTTGCTGTTGTCATTTTTGATCTGAAGTTTAGTTTATTAACCAACGATCATAGATTTATTTGCACCACTGACTAACTGTCAATTCTGTTTATAAAAGTTGGCAAGCAATGTTACGTAGTTGAAAAATCAACTATTTTTAATGTTAATGCAGTTTCAAATTGAAACCGATCTTTTTAGGTCACCGTAATTAGTCATTTGTTTTAAAGAATTTTTTCACTTACTAAGCATCATTTTTATTGTCGTGTCACTTTGCTCTCCAAGCTTCAATTTTAAGTTGGTATTGCCTTCTCAAGCGAAATAGTTTTATTTACAACAAGGAAAGCGTGTTTTTTCTTTATTTATGTGAAAGAAAGAAAGCGAGTTTTTTTTTTTTTTTTTTTT